GTTATGTAACACGCATTATGAATAAGAACATGAATGAGACTGTATTGTCACGTAACTACCATAGGAAACTAAAAAAGTAAATAATTATAATTAATGGAGCATTCATTTTTTTCAAAAGCACAATTTGATTAGCACCCTAGATTGCAACTTGCTGACTAACAGTGTGTTGTTTTTCTGGCTGGTAATTATGGGTATTGTGTTCAATAAGTAGGGTCATGTCACACTAATGTTTCAGCCCTTTCATACTATACTATAAAATAGCCATTTGATATCTACAGTATGTACTTCATTAAAATACTCAATAGTGATTACCATTTGAAGGAGAAAATCTTTGTTTATTCAATTAAAACTGCAAAGGAGCAAAGCACTGATGACCATGCCATACTATGAGAGCATGACCACTTGCAGTCACCAAAAGGGATGCATGTGACAAGGTGACAACACATGAGCATAATTGACAAACCGTTGTCTCCCATTAACAGGAAGTGCCAAAAAGGACCCTAATCAATGGAAGCTACACATATAAAAAAAATTAGGTTTAGATTGACCTGAAATAGTATCAGTGAAAGTTAGGTTCAATACAGTTACTTACCATAAATATCAGTACACTTATCTAATAGTTTTTGTACTTTTATGAATCATTACATATCCTGACCTCCTCTGTACTTTTTGTCCCACTCCTACTCTCATATTGTCATTATTACTGGGAATTTTTCCTATCCTATTTATTTTTAATTGAATTTCAATAAGGTAAGAGCAGATACATATTCTGACTTATGTATTATAAGTAGCATTCCCTTCTATCTTTAATATGATTATCTCTTTTGCTTGTGCATGGTGTGCATGCTTGCCATTTCTAAGAAAGAGAAATAAATGTATAAAAGTTCAAACCCAGTATTACTTTAAAGATGCAAAAGGTGTATAGCCAAAAATATCAATATTTTATATCACCACTGGCAGGTACAGCTTTTAATAAATACAATGACCTGAATGTATCACTGTTAGCTTACCTGCCAGTATCTGTCAGTTATTAAATATATTTTTTACTATTAAGCAAGAACAAAACTAATATTATTGGAATTCAGAATTTTAGATGGCACATTAACAATATAGAGTCAACATCAATTAAAGCAGTTTTATTATATAGTCTGCCAATTCCTACATTTGCAAAGATATACATTTTTTAGCATTATACACAAACATTGTATATGGAACCAGCATCTCCTAATGCCTCAGTGTCACCCTACTGCTACCCCAAGCAAGTTGGAACCCATGAGTATAAGTGAAATAATGTTTGTTATTCCATGTTATGTGATAGTTACTGTATGTTGGTAACAATACATATCGTTTTTTGGAATGTGTATATTACTGTATGCACTAAATATTACTTACAGAAATAGACCTCTAATCTAGGATATAAAAAAAATATGCATAATAAAACCTAATATTTTTTGTTCACGATTCTGTAATTCCCCACTTAATAGTATGTGGATATGTGCTATTATGGCTTTCTTTCGAGGACTTTAAAATAAAGGTCTAGTAAAATGCTAAAGCTAAGCTTAAACCTGCTCCCACTACCATTCTAAGCCCTATTCTAACTACCCTGTAAAGGAAAGATTTCTATATGTACCTATTCTGAAGGTTGTCCTTATAAGGACTGATATCTGTCTGCAACAACTGATTAATAGCTAATTCTTCAATTGTCGACACATTATTATTATAAAGGATTTATATAGTGTCAACAGTTTGCACAGCGCTTTACAATATAAGGGAGACTGTACAATTACAATACATTTCAGTACAGAAGGAATATGAGGGTCCTGCTCGTGGAGCTTACAATCCAAAGGAAGGGGGAGGTGATATAAAAAGTGATAGCTGCGGGGGATGATCTGGTGGAGGTGATTCAAATACAGTTCTTAGGTGTAGGTGGGGTAGGCTTCCCTGAAGAAGTGAGTTTTCAAGGATTGTCAAAAGACAGACAGGGTGGGGGCTTATCGGACATACTGTGATAGGGAGTTCCAGAGGATGGGAGAGGCTCTGGAGAAGTCCTGGAGGTGAGCGTGGGAGGAGGTGATGAGGGAGCTAGAGAGGAAGATATCTTGGGAGGAGTGGAGTGGGTGATTCGGGCAATATCTGTGGATGAGGCTGGAGATGTAGCTAGCTAGCTAGTGCAAATGATGAATAAATTGTCCTCATCAAAGTGTAACAGTCCAACTTTCAGGGAATTGCCTTACAGTGAGTGAGGTTTCTAAAGGGAATGTGACCTACCTCACATTTTAGGGTGACTGTGACAACACATGTCACGTGAATGACAAAAATGGAAAGTTGGACTGTTACACTTAGATGAGAACACTTTATTTTTCATATTGTTTGTGGTTTTGTGCTGTATAACACTGCTAGAGTGATGTATATGTTACTCTTTGCCTTATACTTCTTTTTTTATTAATTGGGGTCCTTTAACTTTCTTGCTTAGGTTATAACTTTTATCTTGAGGTGGTTAGAGCACATCAGGCAGTTGTTGTTCTAGTCAGTCATTGTTAGAGCTACCTTTTTTCACAGCACCTCACTGCATTCTTTGAAAAATACATTTAAAAACACTGTGCACGTGTCCACTGCATGCCTTCACCTTAGGTGCACTGAATTTTCTGCTGTCTTCCCAAACACAAAGAAGAGTTTGATCATAAAACATATAGAACATAAATGTATTGATTTTATCAATAACATCTGCAGTGGTAGTTAGTTTGGTAGTCCTCTTTGAGCCTAGTCTGATCTGGTTTTTATTCAAGCTGAAGTTTAGTATAGTTGTTGGGTGGTATACAGTACTGCACTAAACACACTTTGGTGATTTTTTCGTTAAAATAATAATAAACATGTTATACTTACCTGCTGTGTGCAGTGGTTTTGCACAAAGCAGCTCTGATCCTCCTCTTTTCAGGTCCTCCATCAGCGCTCCTGGCTCATCCCCTCTGCTGAGTGCTCACCATAGGAAGCTGCTTCCTATGATGGGTACTTGTATGGGCTCACTCCCGAGCCTAGCTGTTTGCATCTATTCAAACACACAGCCATGCTTGGCCCTCACTCTCTACTCACAGGTTTTAACTGACAGCAGCAGAAGCTAATGCCTCTCGCTGCTCTCAGCTAAGCCTCTGAGAGCTGGGAGAGGAGCTGCTGCAGAAACGCACAACGCACAAACTCTAATTTCTATTCCCTGATCCCAAAACCCAGCCCTTTCTCATGTGCCCTCTGGAATGCCACCTCTGCCTGTAGCAAGCTCACCTTTGTCCATAACTTTTTTAACTCCAGCTCTTTTAACATTCTGGCTGTTACTGAAACTTGGCTTCAGGAATCCAACTCTACAGCTCCAACTGCCCTTTCACTTGGTGGCCTTCACTGGACTCACAAATCACTTTTCAAGCTATTCCTATACCTCCCTCTCTATCCCTCTCCTATTTTTAAGCTCATTGCATTTATTTTTTGTCTCTAGTGTTTTGAGGAAGGCTGGGATTTATTGGCCTTTGGGACCACTAGCACACTTCCTTTGATGACTTCTCTACCCGGATATACTACTGTTTCTCCTTTAAATGATTACTATCATACTTGGTGACTGTAACATGCCTGTTAATGCTACCTACCTGTCTACCTCTTAACTGATCAATTTAACAAACTTTTGACCTCACATAAGGAATACACACTCCTATTCACTCTGATGGCAACCCCCTTGACCTCTTCACTCCTGGCAACCTTTCCTCTCTCGATCACAACCTCATTAGTTTCATGGTCTTCCTGTCTTCAACCCTCTTTTCTTCAAACTAGAAAATTGTTGCCCATACAAACCTTTTCCAGTTCAATATTCTCTTCTCTATTCTCCTTCAAACTGCCTCTTTGACAAAATCTCACTCCTGTCCTGCCCTGAGCTGGCCAGTTATGTCCAAGGCTCACTCTCACATTCTCTGGACACAATTGCTTCCCTCAGTAGACACAGAATTAAGATGAGACAACTATAACATTGGTAAACAGATGATGCCAGAAGTTTCAAAGGACACAGTTGTGATCCTGAGTGACTCTGGTTCAAAAACTAAATCCCTGCAAAACTTCACCCTATATAAATCTTCCCTCCTAAAATACAATTCCTTCCTCTGTGCTGCCAAACAGTCCTATTTCATCAGTCTAATTACCATCTCTCATCCACTCTCATTTCATTTTTTACCTTTAACTCTTTACTTTGCCACTCATTACCTCCATCACTAGCTAATTCATCAACCAGGAAGTTGTTAATCAATTAAAAAACAATATTGATGCAAATTGTGATGGGATCGCTACTGCCCAAGTATCTCCTCTACCTAGCATGCTAGGTCTTCCAATTAATTCAATACTTTCCTCTTTTGACCCACAGAAGTTACCACAGAAGAGGTTGCTACACTTTTACCTAAGGCCCATGTAACCTTTGCAACTACATTCATCCTCTTGTTATGCCTTGCTATGCTCTGCACTTTCTAACTCACATCTTCAATCTCTCCCTCTCTTCTGGTATCTTTCCCAACCCTCTAAAACATGCACTGGTCACCCCATACACAAATGGACATATACTGTGCAAATTGCTGCTGGTTCCTGATGAACACGTGGATTGAAGGAACCAGGTGGAAAATTGTTTGCTAAACAGCAGCTGCATCCAATTGCTCTCGCCTCAGATCTGTTCCAGTCTCTAGCTACATCTCCCACCCAACTCTTTCTCTACACCATTTCTTTAACCACTAGCCTACAGGGCACTTTATACCCCCTTCCTGCCCAGGCCAATTTCCAGCTTTCAGCGCTGTCGCACTTTGAATGACAATTGCGCGACCATGCAACACTGTACCCATATTAAATTTTTATCATTCTTTTGTGACAGATAGAGCTTTCTTTTGGTGGTATTTAATCACCTCTGGGTTTTTTATTTTTTCTTAAACAAACCAAAAACCACTGAAAATGTTAGTAAAAAAAAAGTTTTTTCTTAGTTTTTGTTATAAAATGTTTTAAATAAGTGATTTTTCTCCTTCACTGATATGTGCTAATGAGGCTGCAGTGGTGGGCATTGATAGGCTGCACTGATGGACACTGATAGGTGGCACTGATGGGCACTGAGGAGGGGGCACTGGTAGGTGGCATTGACAGGCATCACTGATGGGCACTGAAAGGCAGCACTAATACATGGCATTGACTGGCACTGATAGGCAGCACTAACTGGCACTGATTGGCATTGCTAGGTGGCACTGACGGGTGGCACTGAAAGGCAGCTCAGATGGGCACTGATATGTGGCATTGATGTGCACTGGTAGGCACTGATATGTGGTATTGATCTGGCACTGATGGGCACTGGCACGAGGCACTGACACAAGGCACTGATGGACACTGACAGGTGGCACTGCTGGGGCTACACTGATCATCAGGGCAGTGCCCTGATGATCAGTGTACATGTCCCCTCCGCGGAAAGTTGATTACCGGCTCTCCAGCTGTCAGCGTGACAGCTCGAGAGGAGAGAAATGCCGATAACCGACATTTCCCTGTTTACATGTGATCAGCTGTGATTGGACCCAGCTGATCACATGACCGAGCCGATATCTTCCGCTCTTTCCGTGATCGGTGATCCGCTGTGTCCAAAGGACACAGCGCACCACCGTTCGCCACGCTGCACGCTCCCTGAGCCGAGCATGCGCGGTGAGAATGGGAGGACGTCATATGACATCCTCCCAGAACAAGAGAACCACCTTGCACCCGTCATTGGACTATATGGTGGGTGGGAAGTGGTTAAACATTTATGCTTTTTTTTTTTATAAACATGTAGCACTACCCCCTTAGGAGTCGCTGAAGTTTGCGTCCTCCTTTAGTCCTGCATAGCCAGGCAACACACATTTTCCACACAAACTTGCATCCAGGAGATAGAAAACCAGTGTTTGAGTTTGTTTTTGTGAATTTATTAAGGGATTGTAACTTGGATGGGGTAAGGGGTGTATGGGATGCCCAAGGGTATAGTAACTGAGGACAACTTCCTGAGACTATGTATAAGTCTATAGACAAAAATCCTCTTCTTGGAGAGCTAGCCAGCTGTCAAAATGTACCATCCCAGACCCTAGATACTCATTTATCTGGCTGCCTGGAGGAATCCCTGAACAGGGGACCAAGTGCCTGTCACTTTAAGACAGTCCTGGTAGGCAAATGCCCCAATAGTGAGCCACTTGCTCTGGAGGTACTCGTGCATGTGTAGTCCCAAACCCCGCTTTGTGTGTCTATTGACAAACAGAGTAGCCTGGTGCCATCCCCCCTACTTCTCACTGGCTGTGATTGACAACAGCAGGAGCCAATGTCTCTGAGTCAATGAGGAGTCAGAAAGCCAAGAGAACATCTGCTATTGTGCACAGAAGTATCAAAACTTTTTTTTATTCATTGTGCATTATGTAATGCAATAAGCAATTGGGTGTCCTTTTCCTAAAAATTCAGTGCTAAAAAGATTTTCACTCTCTCATCTTAAAAGGTTGGGAGGTACTATATACCATTTATATTTGGTTTGCAAAATGATGAGGTTATGATGCAGTGTACGATCCTTGCACAAATCTGTGTACATGTTTACAGGAAAAAAAAAAGATTTTGCACTTGTTTTTGTTTAGACACATAGAAAAAAATGGAATAGTTTAAAGGACAACCATCAGTTATTTTCCATTCCCCTAACTGCTCTAAACTCAAGAGATTGAAAGGATAACTAGCTGCCATGGGTTACTGCACATTACAATTCCTTGTACTGTGACATAATAAGGTTTATTATCTTGCCATAAGTTTTATTTTATTTTATTTTTTTCTTTACAGAATTCTATCAACTACCGCCAGTACATTGTGACCTGCAGGTTTTCACAGTTAAGTTCTTATATACCTATGATTATATTTTTTCACTTTTTGCAGTTTCTGACAGATGACAGGAGAAAAGGGGTAAACATTCTTGAGCTAAATAACTCTATAAGAACATCTAAGATCTTGAGGAAAACATTTCCCGAAGGTGTAATGACTGCTTTTGAAACAAATGAAAGCATTTCAGGCTACAAAAATGATAGGGAAAATTGGTCATCTTTAATCCATGTGACAGCCATAGGAAAATGAATGCAATGCAATCGCTTATGGCCTGTTCAACAAATGGACACCCTTATGGCTCAGATTTCAGATTGGACAGAGCACTAAAATGGCTAAAGTGAATAAAAAAACTATAATGGGGATTTTTGAATAGGTTGAGACAACAAAATTGGTGTTACAGTCTGATGTCCCTGATGTTCTGATGTCCCTAAATTTCTGTGGGGGTCAAGCATTTTGTGATGAAGCAACAAAGAAATGATTTTGTTGCTAATACTTTCAAACTTGTTTGGGCTGTTATATCTGAGATATACAGAATATTACTGAAATAAAATATGCTTAAATATGTAAACTTTTTCACATATAAAAATAGGTTGTGAATGCACATCCATTTTTAATCACCAAAAAGTTTGTAATAATTGAAACAGGTTCAGGCTGCTATTTTCAGAGCTGCAGTCAAGACATTTGGATTGCATTTGGATTGAACAGTAAGGGGTTGATTTTCTGAAGGAAATATTCCCTTACAAAGCGAAAATTCCTTTGCAAAGTCAACAGTGCCCACTGATAGCTAACACATGCCTGGAACTTCATGGTTCTAATGCTGTTGATAGGGGCTAGGATATTAATATTTCAGACTGCACACATAGTTGATTGAGTTGGCTGAAATCTTCAAAAGAGGAATACATCTACAGCCCCAACTACTAGTAAAAATTGTGCCATCAAAACTGCCAGTTTTCAGCAGCAGTAAACAAATGCAGAGCTGGTGCTGGACTTTCTTATTAGACAGCCCAGCATGTCCTGCACACAGAAGCAAGGAAGCACCCTGCTTTAAATGGTGTAAAATATATGCAAATTGCGGTATTAAATATCAGCTCATAATTGTATAAATTTTAAAAAGGAAACTAGAATTAGTTAGAATTGAGGTATAAATCATAATTTCACGTTTTGATTTGTGTTTTTCAGCCTGTCAGATAAACATTTAAGAAATTATGAACATTTGTTAAATTGTTCTTGAGATAAATACAGTACATAGTGAAACTTTGATGCTAGAAAGCCTGCTACCATTAGTTAAAAAGCTATAATAGTCATTATTGTGTACAGACTTAAAAATGAAATATAAAGAGATGCAAACAAAGCAATGGCTAGGTCTTTGAAGTAGAAAGAGTCACAGTCACCCAGTTGGGTACCCTGAAGTGGTGAAGTGGTATAATATGTGGATAAATACAATCAATGGTTTTAATATATTCCCAGATATCATATATATATATAATATGTATTGAATATATTACATGAGTAAAAATTTATATGGTAACAGCATCTTTACATCTAGAGAGAGGGTAAACCTATTATTATTGTTTGAGTGGACTATGACTTTACTTTATATATGCAAATTTATGCTCCATCAATTTCCATGCTTGTATATGCTAATTTTTGGCATTTTTGCTATCTATAGTTGTCATTTGAATGACTGTTATTTACAAACTTTTATTTCTTTGTTTATGCTTTTTGCTGGACAGGGCTGCTGTTTGCCATCCGACCACAGGGTGGAGCTGGGGGTATCTGCAGTGGCCTTTTCCTCACTGCCCCACACGCCTAGGCCCCCATCACCCCTGTCTGGGTTGGGTGGGGGCCATTGTTACTGACTGTGCCATGGAGGGAGTTGGCTCTCGTGGTCACGCCCTTCAGAGTGGCCTGTGACTCTGTGCCCCTCCTCTGTACATGAACCCTTCTCCATCTGCATTATGCAATCCTGTGCGTGTCGGTGGCACAGCAATGCATGATGTCATTGTGCCCTAAGGGGAGGGGTGACACTGCTCACCACTAATGCCGGGGGATCCGAATATGGACACCATATCATGCCCGTGTTTCTGGCTAGCATCCCGATTCCAACCACTGAATATATTAGGTACAGGTGGATTCATATGCATTTTCCCCATACATTTTCCTTATACATTTTCCCTATATGGGATATATGCCTTGTGGCCTACCTAGTCTAGACCCCCACATTATTTACTTATTGTCTCTTTTCTTCCCCTATTTATACTGTACAGTTGTGGCCAAAATTATTCAACCCCCAATGCTGTAAAGGGGTTTAGGGACTATAGTGTACATTTGGAATTGTATTCAGAATCAAATCCTACAAGGACGTTGTAACTACCCAAATGCAACTAAAATGACATCAATTGTTTATGTAATACAGTAGTAAATGGTTCTTATGTGGTTTCTTCATTGCCACAATTATTCAACCCCTTAAAGACTACCACTCTGAAGAACAGAGGTTCATACAGGTGCTTTCCATCAGGTATTGAAAACACCTGTGGATGTCACCGAGCAGCAATCAAGCATAATAAGCACCAATTAGGCAGCTTTAAAATGACTGTGATACTCAGCTCCTTCTAGACATTTACTGGTGTGGTTACAAACATGGTGAAGGCAAGAGAATGGTCCAGGAAGACAAGAGAAGAGGTGATTTCTCTTCACAGGAAGGGCAATGGCTATAAGAGATTGCAAAGATGTTAAACATACCAAGAGACACCTTAGGAAGCATCATTCGCAAATTCAAGGCAAAGGGCACTGTTGAAACGCTACCTGGTCGTGGCAGAAAGAAGATGCTGACTTCGACTGCTGTGCGCTACCTGAAGCGTAGAGTGGAGAGAAGTCCCCGTGTGACTGCTGAGGAACTGAGAAAAGATTTGTCAGATGTGGGTACAGAAGTTTCAGCCCAGACAATAAGACGCACACTGCGTAATGAAGGCCTCCGTGCCAGAACTCCCAGGCGTACCCCCTTGCTGTCTCCAAAGAATAAGAAGAGTCGACTGCAGTATGCCAAAAAGCCATGTGGACAAACCACAAAAGTTGTGGGATAGTGTTCTGTGGACTGATGAAACAAAATTAGAACTGTTGGGCCCATGGATCAACGCTATGTTTGGAGGAGGAAGAACAAGCCTATGATGAAAAGAACACCTTGCCTACTGTGAAGCATGGTGGAGGGTCAATCATGCTTTGGGGCTGTTTTGCTTCTGCAGGTACAGGGAAGCTTCAGCGTGTGCAAAGGTACCATGAATTCTCTTCAGTACCAGGAGATATTGGATGGAAACGTGATGCAGTCCGTCACACACCTGAGGCTTGGGAGACGTTGGACCTTTCAACAGGACAATGATCCCAAGCATACCTCCAAGTCCACTAGAGCATGGTTGCAGAGGAAAGGCTGGAACA